TTACTTGTGACCACTCAGTGTACTAACGATTATAGGCTAACAACAATAATATACTATAAAAATAAAAGCTATTGGTTGTGATAGATTCAAAGTCGACGCTGGGCAGCTTTTATAGTGATATTTTCATTTATTGTTCTTGCTCGCCCTAAACTGAAGATTGGATTTGTGACTGGCAGATAGAGATTGTTACTCCTTGAGGTCAAGACGACTTCTTAAAACAAAATGTAATGTATTTCATGCTGAGTATGTTTTAAGACTCGTAACTTGGAATTAACTTTCGACTCCCGTGCTGGAGCTTCCATCAGACTCTAGAATGTCTGAAAATATATATAATTTTTGTTTTTCTAACAAAGTCTGTACAGAGAAGAAATTAAATTAAACCCCAAAAGTCTAGACGTTATAACGTTTATTCTGCTTATTGAATAACAGTGAAGAAATGATTAAACAAACATAAAAAGTTCAATTTCTGGTCTCTCTCGTTCGGGCATAATCTAGTGATTAGTGTTTAAATTCGATGACGAGGAACCCACTTTGAGACTAATAATGGTTGGAGACGGCTTGAATGGGTAATGAATAAAAACTTTAATATAAGTTTAACATTGTTTGTTTGTAATTAAGCACAAAGCTACACAATGGGCTATCTGTGCTCTGCCCACCACAAGTATCGAAACCCGGATTTTAGCGTTGTAAGTCCGCAGACATACCGCTGTGCCACTGGGGGGGGCGAAAGTTTAACATAACAGCAAATGTACAACGTTTCGACAAGGTTTTGTCATCATCAGGTACAAAACCTTGTCGAAACGTTGTACATTTGCTGTTATGTTAAACTTATATTAAAGTTTTTCTTCATTACCCATTCAAGCCATCTCCAACCATTATTAGTCTCAAAGTGGGTTTCTCGTCATCGAATTTGAAGCTTGTTTTAACATTTCATAATTTATCCGAAACTGGTGAACTTTGGAATGTTTGATGGGGAACACTCCTTCTTCACGTTATAAACTCGCATATGGTTGATGTCACATTTTAAGGCTAAAATAATGATTACATAGTGTGTTGCATGTATGTATGCCCATGGCAATGATTTTGAATGGAGCATATATGTGTGCCCAATGAAAGAGTAACTGAAAATGTTGTTTCTATTTTCTCTAAAAAAAATATATATATAAAATCTGTCAGTTGACTACTCTTAGCTCCATTATTGATGTATTGTCATAAATATATATTAAATTTTAAAATATTCCATGAAGTGTGGTGTGCAAAATTAAATGCCTTTCTTTTAAATTTCTTTGAATAGTGAATCAAAATATAACTTTATATCAAACCTGCAACATAAAAAGGTGTATTTAAGAACTCCTCTTTCTGCATTTTTGTTTTATTTGTTCAAAATTAAGTTAAACAATGGGCTATCCGTGCCTTTCCCAATGCATGGATCAAACTATAAATTTTAGGATTTAAACTTACTGCTGAGCCAATAGTCATTCATGCAAAATGATAATTCATGCATTGTCCTTAATAAATACTCAAATGTAAAAATCACAGTTTATTTCTTAATACTCAGATAAAAAAAATCAGAATAAAAGAAAACTTGTGATCTGATTTATAAATTTTCATGACTGCACATATTTATCATCTAATATGAAATAATACACCCTCACCCACCCCATGGTTCAGCCATAAGTTTTTTTTAAAGCTTAGATGGCCCATTAAGCTGTCCTTGTGCTTAACAAAGATAGGAAATCCTATAACCCAAGTGCTTTCAAAAAGTGGACCTTTCTTTTTCAGGGACAAACTAATTCCAAGTTTGCCTCTGAAGAAGAAAGGTCCACCTTAAATTGATTTCTTAAACCCATGTCAACAAGACTGAAGCCTCTATAAATATTAAGTAACTATGAAAAGAATATTCTGTCATAAATAATATCATTATAATGTTATTTTTATCAGTTTAGGAATCATTTGGAAATAACTCGTACACAAATGAGATTCTATTTTTTGTTAGTACATGAAAGAAAAAAAGTATATGATACATCGGAAAGTTTTTAACAAACTCTGTCCATTAAATCTTCCAGCTAATTACAATCCGCCAACTAATTCTTTTGAAGTATATAAATATTTATATAGATATAGTGATTTCATATGTATACATAAAAAAATTTTCATCCACTTCCCTTTCTTCTTCTTTTGGGTTGAAAGAAATCAACAACTAAATCGTTCCTCCTGATTCATATCATCCAAGAGTGATTTCATTGAGTTTATTGCACTACGTTTTCCTATTTTGTTAATTGTATATCTTTCTGCTTCTTGTTCTTCTCCAAGAATGGTGATAAAGTTCTTAAGTTCTTGAACAGCATAAGAGTCCACAGTATCAGCAAAAAATTCCTCTGGAGAGGAAGAGCTTGGTGTATCCTTAATTAGAACTAAGTGACTAACACCATCTGTAACTTCAGTGTCACAAAGGTCCTCAAAAATAATGATATCTTTTGGTATAGAGTGATATGAAGTATTGGGAACATCCTCTTTGTGCAACTCTGGTACGACAGGTGTTAAGTTAAGCCAGTTTTGCTCTGAAGAAGTGTTCTCAGGTAGTGAATGAGTGCCTGCATTCTGCAAGTTGCAGTTTCCAGTTTCTTGGGATTCGGTAGCAATGAAGTTACGATAAAATGTTTCTTGACTGTCTTGTGAGATTGTGAGGGAAGTGCTCTTGTTGTCCTCTGATAATAGAAGTTGATGTTTCTCTGTTGACAAGGAAGAACTGTGGATGTTATTTAAACTGCAACTATCTTCATTCCCAGGAAAAGGCTTGGGCTTATTTTTATAAATTTCCAAGGAGCAGTGTAAACCATCATTATTTATATCATCAGTGCCATTTTTAAGTAAAGTCTTAGTCTCTGAGTTACAATCACAATTTTTTTCTTCATCAGTGCCAAATTGAATTTCATCTCCACCATGATGTGTTTCATTAACATAAGCTTTATTGGAGTTTGAAGCTTCAAACAGTCTTGATCTGAAAAATTAACATGTTAAAAGATATATATATATATATGTCATTAAATTGTTCAAGACTGTACTGTATTAACTATTTTAAATCACTATTATCATTGGTCTTTAAAATACTGAACATTTCAAATTGTGTGACATGTTTGTTTTAAAAAAAACAGTTCACATTTTAATTAAAAAAAAAAAAGAGTGTAATACACTGATACTAAGATAAACCTGTTACATGCATATATTGCTACTTAATTTTATCTTTATAGTGTAACAATTAGTATATTTTATCAAGTACAAAAAAATGGAACAAAATCTGGATTACTTCATGTGCCTGTTTGACACTGGTAGATGAGGCTAGCTTTGCTTTTGGAGTTAAAGGCATCATTATTGTACTAAGGCATCTGTTTTGCTTTAAAGTAAATGTCTGAATGAGAAAGAAAAATTCTAAAGATTCTGGAATTCCAGCAAATAAATAAGGCAGAAGAAAAGACGCTTCCAGTAAATCTCGAAGGGCAAAAAAAGTTAAGTGAATATCCTCCAAAAATACATCACCACTCAACAAGTCCCAGCAACAGACCAACCACGACACCAAGGCAAGTCCTGAAGAGGGCAAACGTGTCATAATAGTGACCATTAAATGGCCCAGTTCGTAGTCAAATTGTTGAGGCGATCGGTGATATGCTTCAGACAAAAGTTGAAGGGAAGAGAAGTATCTTAAAACAGCAGTAAGAATCAAACAAATCCGTGAACATTGCGATCTGTTCAGAGAAATAACAGGTTCATACCTGGCACCCAACAATCGATATGTCCAAATATATATCATACTGACGATGATACGCCAGGGCATGTTGTTCAGATAAATGAGGGGGAGAAGGCATAGTTACACCCTCATGTAATTGTGTTGCAAACCTCCCTTCATGCACAAGTAACTAACTGCAGAAAAAGGGGCAGAATGCGGCTGATCAGATGAGTTCTTAGGAGAGGAAGCTCTAGTGAAAGAAGGAGCACGAAAAAGAGAGTCTACATTCTCCCCAGAATATCCCGTTTCAGAATGAAATTCAAATCAGCACCTCCCAGAGAGGTACCCCCGGGCTGCATGAAGGACTTGATCTCACCCCGAATCAGGTCATGGACAGCTTCCACGGAGATTCGCCCCCCCCCCCCGACTGCTGACTACCACTAGATAGCAAAGGGGGAATAGAACGAAGGTTGAGTAGGCTCCATGCTTGAAACCATTACATGGGAATATATTTGTAGGAAAAAACAGAAACAAATTCAATGAAATATATCTCTGGATAACAAAACAAAGAATTCCCGATTATTAGAAAGCAAAAACTAAGAAAATGTAAATTACAAAACGTTAGTCTGAATGCTCGTGCTTTGTGTTGGGAAAAAGTGATTTTATTGTCTGCATACAGTGCTTATATACAGTACCTGCATAGAGGGCGTGTGAGGGCCGGCATAAAGTTTTGCAAATTAGATATTGACGAGGGCAGTCGAGTGGGATATATAAAGACTGGAGCAAGCGAACACAACGTTAGATGGTAAATATGAAGATGGAGAAATAGCTATTAGTGTCAGTGGAGGTATGCATGTTTTGGAAATAGGATTTGATTGCCAGGTACAGAATATAAAGAATGTTGACAGTTTAGTTTCTGCTATCAAGGAATATTTTGTTTTTGTAGTGCATGTAAAAGTGAATCATATTGGGAGTTTTAAATCAGAAGAATTGCATAAAAAATATAAAAAACTCTTTCAGAGGTTTAGGGATAGAAATAGATGAGAAGGCCTTTTTGTGAGTCTTCGCTCAGGCTAGACGTGGAAACAAACTACTTAACAGGATCAAAGGCTTAAATGAAAGGTTATAAAGGATATTTGAGAAAGGTGAGCTGGTTGGACCCGTGGGAGGTTTTCTGGGTAAGGATGAACTTTATGCTAGAGATTGGCTCCACTTAAGAAGGCTAGTAAAATGTTTGAGAAAGATGTACAGAAATGCATTAAAAATAGTTTAAGCTAAACTTGCAAATATAGTGGTGATGGATGTTGGGAAATTGAGAGCAAAGAAACTGACAGGATGCCTAAGGCAATAAGGAGAGTGGGGAAAAAAACTAATAAGTTAAACGACTGTTTTAAAGATAATCGTGTCAAACTTAAAGATTAACACAGTAAGTTCAAGAATAAGCTATTATTCTAATGCTAGGAGTTTTAGGAACAAAATGGACAAGTTCAGAGCTCTATATTTGAAATGGAAGATTGTGATATAATGGGAATTACTGAAAACTGGTTAGATTTGGAGAACACTAAGAATAATAATTATTTTGAAATTATACATTATTAAATAGTGATTTATTTTTTTTAAAAGGGGCAAGATGGCTTTTTATATACAAAATGAACTGCATTATGTTGGGACTTAAGATATAAACAATGTTACTCAATACATTTAATCTATATGGGTTACTGCCATGGGTTTCAAAGTAAGAAAGTTTTTCATCAACAATTTTTAAAGGCCCCCTGATTAGACAGATGATATCAATATGAAATTGTATAAGATGAAAGTTGTTGCTATTAAGAATACCAATGCAAAAATTACTGGTGACTAATGTTAGACACGTATACTGGTATTGTATGGAGTCAAATAGTGATTTCTAGAAGTGATCTGGGATGGTTTTCTCTACCAAATGATCAGAGAACCAACTGAGGGTGATGCTATCTTAAATTTATTGTTGACCACTGGTTGTATGGAAACATTTCGGGAAAAGTGACCATTTCATAATTAGATCTAATACTTTGCTGTGTATTGAGATAAACAGAAAATGAAATTTTAGTTCCTAATTTTCAGAAAGCCAATTTTTAAGCCAAGATATATCATAATTAAACTAGGATAATGAGTTAAAAGGTGATGTAGGACAAATTTTGGAAAATTAAATTGCTTTTAATTCAAGATAGGCATGCTCCTAAGAAGAGGGAAAATATACCAGGGTTTATAAAACCCAATTGGCTTAATAAGGAAATAGTTAACAGGGATGATGAAATCTAATTGGCTTAATAAAGAAATAGATAACAGAGATGATGAAATCTAATTGGCTTAATAAAGAAATAGATAACAGGGATGATGAAATCTAATTGGCTTAATAAAGAAATAGATAACAGGGATGATGAAATCTAATTGGCTTTATAAAGAAATAGATAACAGGGATGATGAAATCTAATTGGCTTAATAAAGAAATAGTTAACCCCTTCCATGAATTGCCAGAGTTAATTCAGGCAAACCATTTATTGATGTATTTTTAATTATTTGCCCAATTTTATTCGCATGTTATCGTGTATTAGAATAGGCTATCAAAAAGCTAAGTTAAAAAAATTGTCTGTTTTTCAGCTCATTTCACAAAAAAAAATTAAAAAGAAGCTTGAAAAGTTGAAGAACTACAAGAAAGTTATGAATTTGATTTATAAAAAATTAAGAAATCAGAAAGAGCTTATGAGAATCAGTGAGCTGGTAAAGTTAAAACTAATAGCAAGGGTTTTTTGAGTACATTTAAGGTAAGTAGAATGTTAAAATTGAGACTCATAAAGGATGCTGATATTAAAGCTTTTTTTAAGACTGTGAAGTGGTTGAGATTTAATTTTAATAGAAATACTGAGAAATGAGTATAAAGACGTGAAAAGTTTTTACACAGGGCTTTGAAGAAGGCCAAAGGTCAGATTTGTGAGCTGCTCTCTAATATTTTTGATAGATCAAAAACAGTGGACAGATGCCTGACAATTGTAAAGTTGTTAATGTTAAGGTTATTTCTATAAGGGTAATAACACTTGCCCTGAATATTATAGGCCAGTTAAGTTTTCTGTACTTTTGTGATGAGAAAAATAAATAAAGCCTTTCCAACATCATTTAATGAAATATATCCTAAAACACAATCAACATGGATTTACAAAAAGGAAATCTTGCTTTACTAATCTGTTAACTTGTTTTGAGGAAGTTACTTGTTATCTGGACAATGAATAGGGTGTGAATTAATGTATTTACATTTTTGAAAAAGTTTATAATCAGATGCCACACAGAAGATTAGCTAAAAAAAATCACATCAGTTGAGAGAAAGCAAAAGGTTGTTACCAATGAAGTCATAATTAAACTGTACCTTTATTACTAGTTGCATACCAAGAGAGTCAGTGATTGGAACTTTAATTTTTCTTATTTGGACTAATGATATTGATAAGGGCATAATTGGTAATTTAGTAAAGTTTGCTCATGATACTAAACTCTTGGGTATTTCTAGCTGTATTGAGGATTTTGGAGTTTTGCAAAATGACTTGGATCAACTGGTCCATTGGACAAATATTTGAAAAATGATCTTCAGTTATAATTTGAATCACAGTTTTTATATAGATGGTACCCACTCAAAGGAACAACTAAAGAAAAGAATCTTGGCATAGTGGTGGAAAAGTCACTTAAATCATCAAAGAAATTCTTTGTTGCTAGTAGTAAAGCCAATAGAATTTTTGGGTGTATTTATATTGTTATATTTATAATGCTGTAATATGTTTAAGTTAGATGTTAGTAAATATCTACAACAAGCACAGAATATAAATACAATGTTCCATAAGGTGTTATTAGGTTAGTTATAAAGTGAATTGTTTCAAGAGTAGATTTAGATAGTTAAGGAGGTAGACAGGATTATTTCAAGACAGAGAGTGAATCAGTCAGTGTGTGTTAGCCATCACCATTGCTTTCAACAAGTAATTTGGTTTGTTTAGCATGAATTAAAGCCATTTGTAACATAAGCCTACATCAAGTTACCAATGTAACATCAAGTGTTCAAGTTTGTAGGAATATTGAAGAAGGAAATAAAGTAATTTATTGTTGATATGTGAATTATTTTTACCAGATAATTAAAAGAACCTGCCAATGAAAGAAATGTGCTACTACAATACATATTGATCACATGTCAAAAGAGGTAATTATATTTCTATACCAATCAGTAGTTAGGCCTTACTGGGTACAGTTTTGGTGTCCATATCTCAGAAAGCTATTGAATTATTGGAAAGGTTTAAGAAGTGGGCTATTAGGATGATTCTGTTGATGGGCCAAGGGTTATATTATAGAGATATGTCAAGATATCTTATTTTCTGTTGAGAAAAGAAGGGTAAGAGGTTAAGTTCACAAGATTACCCAGAGGATCTATAGGATAAAACCACTGTTTTTTTTTTTTGCTTTATTCCAAAAATAGTAGCACGAATGATAAAAGTTTAAGATTTGGAAAAGATATGCAAGACACCAGTTAAGACACTTGTAATTTTCTAATTAGATGGTTGACTTATGGAATTGGTTGCCATTGGCAGTAGTAGAGGCTGGTACTTTACAGAAATTCAAAACAAATTCAACATTTATATCTTGAATAATAAGTAACTCTTTATATATTTTGTGTAATAAGTTTTCTTAAAGTAATATTTCAACGTCAGAAACCAACAAAAATTGGACTGTTTGTATCGGTTAGTATTACTAATGACATGTAAATACTGAAATACAAATGGTTTTAGTTTTTCTTTTCATTGGCCTTGCCTGAGAATTTTTTGTGTGCATTATCTAGTAATACCTTTAGTGTGTATCATGTAAAGAGTTTTTTGTTGAATCACGAGGTCACTTATGACCGTTAGGGCAACTTAGATGCTTATGCAGCAGCAGTTATTCTCGGTCAGATTTTACTTAGCGGTGCCTATCTCCTTTCCAGGTAGCCATCCCTCATTTAGAAGTGAAAGACTAGAGGGAAGACAGATAGTCCACACCATCTACTGCCAAATATTGGGATACACTGTTACCAAGGGATAGTGGGATTGACCGACACATTATAACATTTCTATGGCTGAAAAAGTGAGCATTTTCAATGATGGGGATTTGAACCCATGCCTTCAGATTGTGAGTCAAGCGTCCTAGCCACCAGGTCCAGCCAGACCGTTAAAAGTTACAGATGGTAAATATTATAAGGTTTTTTTGTTTAATATCTAAGAGATTTAACTAGTTGATAATTGATAATAATGATGATGTCTGCTCTAAGTAATTAATCAAACTTTTATCAATCTATAACAAAGTTTTTTGAAGAAAAAAAAATATTATAATTTTCCTGAATCCTTTTTTTTTTTGCTGTTATTCTAATTTGATGGGCCTGTCTACACATAGTATTGACAGATCACAACTTGTTCTTAAACTCAAAAATTAAAGAATTCCAAGTCTTAACACTAGAATTTCAGTTAGTCATTTAACGATCCTTAACAAGTGTACACAACTCGTAAATATAGCATATTTGTCAAAATATTTGCTAAATCTTTGAATTTTCTTTTCAAGCTGGTGCCTACAGAAAAAAAGTAAATATTTTCATGTGTGTAAAACATAATTTATGTGAACATTCAAAAATAAATTGTTTGTTATATTTAGCTTGAATATACATTATCTTAGATAACAGATCTAGCTATTAAGTGGGCACATAGGGTGCTGATCAAGCTGAAGATATCAATAGGTAATACTATTGATCTTAATGAAGAAAACAAATTCTGCCTACCAATCTGTGCACAATCTCCACGCCTTACTCGCAACAGCTACAAACTCACAATGAGGTATCATCTGAATTACGATTTTTGCTATATCTATGTTGAAAGTCAAGTTTCAAAGAGTTTTATCTTTTCTGCAATCAAATTGCCCTGTTCTATGCCTAGTCCTATATATCATCAGTAGCACGAGTATAATTTTATAGGTTTGGTAAGTGTAAATAATGTTTCTGATCTAAAGTCACTTACAGTCTGGGGGCTGATATTCTTTGAGCATTCATAGGCCCAGAAACTTCTGCAGGTCTTCCAATAAGTTTCTGTAGAGCTTCGACCCACAATTTACGGGTTTCACTGTCAAAGGCAGCCTGGAAAGAAAACAAAATCCTGAAAGATTGAAATGATTAAGACATTTTATAAATAAATGCTAATTTCTTTTATAAGAAACATTATAACACTTACTTGAAACAGTAACAGAATTCCAATACGAAACATAATATGCTTACTTATTTTTTGGTAGCTTATTCTAATTAAGTTATACAAACAGGCCCAATGAGAGGGTGGGGAGGCCGGGGTAATTTCTCTAGGCCCCAATGCTTCGAAGGGGACCTGACTGAGATTGGCCAACATACCAGTACTTTCCAAGGACTCATGAAAGCTCTTGGCAGTCTTGTACACAGTATTTGTTTTGTTTTTCTTGTAGTTAGACTATGGTAACGCAAGCTTCATCTACAGAATTGTGTAACTTTTCCTAACTGAATATTGAACCAAGGTTAATTTTCATATTATTATTATTACCGTATTTATAGATCATATTTTCAAATTAAAATTTCTTGGCTAAAATGAAGTTTTATTCGGAATCAATCCCCCCCCCCCACCCACACACACACATACATACATACATACATACATACATAGACCCTTCAATTCTCGTTAAAAGCTTTATATTTAACAGAAGAAGGTTAACATAAACAAAGTTTAATTGTATGGTTAATAGATATGTTATACTTCTTTTAATCCTACGCCATCATTACGACCTGCAGCTCCCTCTAGCCAACAAACAAGTTACATTAAAAAATATAGCTTTTAACCATATGTTATGCTTGTTTTAAATTTAAAGAAACTTAACCTATATCGAACATCAATGGACTTACCAGATGTATTGCATTTCTTCTTGTAATGACATCAAATTCAAAGTTAAGGGTACTGTTGATCATACGAACAGACTGAATCTGAGAGAAGTCGATCATCCCTTTACAAACTCCCAAACTCTAAAGAAGGTGAATTAGTTGATTTTAGAAGAAAATATAAAACAACTATTTATTTAACTAAATAGCGTCATTAAGTGTCAGCATGCCATTTTAGACGAATGTATCGTTTAGCGAAATAAAATAAAATATAAAGTATATTTAGAATAAAGTTTCTTTAATTACTCATTCAAGTCATCTCCAAACATATCTTATCTAACAAGTGGGTTCCTCGTAATTAAATTATGCGATGCTTTGACTAACGTAAAATTGAATAAGACAGGATTTCCCTCAATCACGAGAATAACACTAACCCAAATGATGTTTGTTTGTTTCGGAATTTCGCGCAAAGTTACACATGGGTATCTGCGCTAACTTTCCTTAATTTTAAACTGATAAATCAGAGGTAAGGCAGCAAATCATTAACACTTATTGTCAACCTTTAAGGTTACTATAAACGAATAATAGAATTTGACTTCCACTCTCGTGATGAACCTATGGCCCCAAAGTACAGGGGGCGTTTTTTCGGTAATGGGACGTGAACCATGTACTTTTCGATTCACAGTACAGCACACTAACAAGGCCTTGCCAAAACGAAAACTATGAAATAAGACAAATTAATTTGTCAATAATGCTTTAATCTAGAGGGGTGAAACTGTCCTATATAGTTGGAAGCACTATAATTTTATAAGCATGTATCCTGTTTTAATTGCTACCGCAATGAAATGAAATGTCTTGTTGATTGTGGAACTTATTAAAACTTGTTATAATTTGTTAATCTCTGATAATTCATCAAATTATTATTTCTTAATAAGAATGTGTGTCTCGTTGCAATTTCAGGCCTTTGAGCAGGATCCTAAAAATATACAGGATAAATACAATAATTTTTCATAAAATACAGGAAGGGCAAAATAAAGGAACGTGTTAAACCATTACTACTTTAAGAAATACAAATTATAACTTTGTTGACAAATGAAAATCAAAAGTTACAGTATTTATTTAGAATTTACCTTCTTGTTAACAGTGGTTACTTAAATCTTACCCTCCTGTTAACAGTGGTTACTCTGTATATACTGGTTTAATTCCAGATCACTTTTCACATGGCTCTTTGTCTTGCACCAGAGAGAAACAGTTTATTGACACTAATCTCTTTCATGTCCAAATAATCTGCAATGTGTACCAAAAAGTAAAAACAGCGTGTAGGTTCTTAGTATCCCTCATCATGTACATGTGTATACTTTGTAGACCCACAACCTGCTGCCTACCAGTTACATAATACCAGCATTTCTTGAAACTACAAGTTCTTATTATCCTATATCAAGCATTAATTAATTAATATTAATTACTACTTGAAAACGTCACTGCTTGGTGAAAATTCCATAATTACAGAAAACAAAAGCAAATTGTACATTTCACAAATCGTTCATTTATCTCGACCATGGGTTCGTCAGTAAAGGCATCATTTGGTCACTATTTGGCACGCTACAGAGACGATGAAGTATAATGGCTAATAACAAACTGTGTATTTTACAAGCATCTCCAACTAAGTATATATATTTGATGCCCCTAGTCCCCTCAGTTTTCATCATTGGAAGAAAACTCCTAATACTGAAGCTTTAACATTTAACACACGTTTACTTCTTTCGCAACATAAAATATTTAAATCAGAAGAACCAAAAGTACGAGATTTTATACTTGTGCCTGGTTAATTTCAAAATTAATAACTTTCATTTTACGTAATTCTTCCACTACATATTAAAAAATTACAGTAAATACTCAAGGGGAAAAACGACATATTTTGGCGCAATCAAAGATAAAGTTTTTATTAGGTCTTTCGACTGATTAGCTTCGCTAACACAGTTATTATCACCAGCAGCTCGTGAATACATTGATTATGATAATAAAATGAAAGTAAATATCCAAGTGACAAGTGATTTCTCACTAGGGTTTCTCAATATTATTTGTCTCATGTCATGCTCACAGGAACAGTTGCACGTGGTTTCTCCATGATGAACTGAATACAGATGGAAGTCGAACACAATCTGAATTGTATTCTAACCAAATTGTTTAGCATAATATACAAAATTATTCTACTAATGTGATATGTTGTAACTCACACAATACTTATAATATTGCAGTGTGATTTTTCTATTTATGTGTTCAATAAACAGAAGATACGAAAAAACTTACCTCATAACTTGCTTTAGACTTATAATACATGAACTGCCTTCCTTCTAGGACAAACCAATACTTTTTCCAAGAACATCGTAAATTCTGTAATAAAAATTGTAGTATAAACCTCAGATGAGTCGAAATGTTTGGTCAAAATAATTATCTTTTTGAGTTTTGCATTTTGTTACACAGCTTATTTGTAATATTCAAACTGTTTCTGTGAGTGGTTTTGACATGACGTGTGCGGTTTTTCAAAAACTAACCATTAATGATTCTGTAGTTGATAAACTGAAACTATATTTCACAAAGCAAGGAGCAAAATTAGCACGTGTCAGGTAATAAATGATTCTAAAATCACATTGGGCACTTAAAAAATTAAAAATATGTGACCAATTGGCGCAAAAAACACAGGGGACAATCATTTCAGAAATATTATAGATAAGAGTCATAAGACAATGTTTCTGGTTAGTACAACGAAGTTTGAATATAAATCCAAAGTTCGTATCTTCGTACCATGAATTTATGATTTCGCGGCCCAAATCTGTTATAAACTCAGAAATTCTGTTGCTTATATCGTATACTAAGTTGCTTGATCATTTGGCCAAACAAATCGTTGTCCAAACAGAGTTCGTATCTGTGCAATTTATAGGCCAATGCCATTACTAAGGTCTTGTGGAGGCCTATATAGATGTTACGACAGCGGAAGTCACGTGACGCTAGTAGCACGTCATGAGATTCTTGAAGGATCATGTCTGTTCGTGGCAACTCTAGTCTTTTCTATGCGTCCTCCATTCTTGTATATAAGCGCGCCAGACAATGGATCAGGACAAGAATAATTGCAGATTGAAGAGATAGAGACAGATAATCGAGTCAGGTAGTAAGTAACGTGCGTGAATCGTTGTGAATTATAGCGTGTGTTTAAGTTAAAGTGACTGTGGAAATTCTGTGTATTGCAAAGTTGTATTGAGAAAGAATAAACTAGATTAATTTAAGAAAGAACTTGTATCGCTGAAGTTCTTCGGGAAGAAATTTTATGGGAAATTAACAAACGAACAGAGACATAACATAGATTTGTTACGACAGCGGAAGTTACGCGACGCTGGAACCATGCGCGCTGGAGTTTCTAGAAGGATCATGACTGTTCCTGGCAGCTCTAGTCTTTTCTAGGTGCCCTCTTTTTTGTATATAAGCCCGTCAAATAAACTGGAGATATAATAGCAGATATTGAGATATAGAGACAGATAATTGAGTCAAGCGAGCGGTAGTGCCCGTAAGTAAAGTGCGTGAATCATTGTGAATTATAGCGTGTTTTTAAGTGAAAGTGACTGTGGAAATTTTGTGTATTGCACAGTTGTACTGAGAAAGAATAAACTAGTTTTATTTAAGAAAAGACTTGTATTGCTGAAGTTCCTAGGGAAGAATTTATACCGATAATTAACAAACGACCAGAGACGCAACAGATTGAAATGGCACTGATATCTTGCTTATATCACCAATTTATGCTTTCCAGTCTAGCTAAATCTCTACACGCACGAACACATATATGTATATGCTATTTTTATTAACACTATTATTACTCACGTTAACTAGAGCTAAGCCTACACCTAGTAATAAAACAAGGTAGGTGTCCTAATGCCAAACAGAAGATTAGATATAGTTCGTGCTGACAGTGACTTGAAATCTGGAGGTCTAAACTATGTAATATATATATCATTCTTACAGCGGAAACTCGAGCTTCACGTTAATGTATATATATATGGACGTAATCCGGGCACTAAATTTAGACCTAGATGTAAAATAAATCATGGTATGTTCACATACAGACTAGATTTCATATATTGAAGCTCCCGACTGCATATGTCCAGATCTAGATCTATGTACATCTAGTATAGTCTATTTACCTCTAAATTTCAGTTACGTGACGGTATCTTCCTGATGTACCATATCCTCCACAAAAAAAAAAAAAACAGAGGAGAAAAGAGAGGCTTCAAAAGTGATACTTTGTTTGTTTGTATATTGAATTTTGTTCAAAGCTGTTCGAGAGGTATCTACTCTAGCCTTCCTTATTTAGAAGAGATTGAGGGAAAACAACTAGTCAACACCACCCACCACCAACTTTTGCGATACTCTTTACCACAAATAGTGGGATCAACTATCACGGTATAACGCCCCCCGCAGATGAAAGGGCATGTTCGGTGACAGGTTTAGATCCCGCGTCAAGCAAATTGCGAGTCGAGCACCCTAACCAAATTTAATATAGTAATAGCAGTACTTATACAAGTGGGGGTGGCAATAGATATAACTTGGCCGTGATAATGTTGGGAGTTTGTTATGAATGCTCATGAACTTGAAGAGAAAAACAAAACAAATTTTGCGAGGGTGCGTTTTTTCGGCGTCGAAAACATCTTCTGGCATATTAACATTTTGATGACTATGCCTGGGCGGCACTTTAAAAAAGTTAATGCAAAGTGTGATAGAGCATGTAAGAATTTTGTAACATGAAAGTCATTTCATGGAAAAATTTTCCTGTTTGGGATTTAATGCACACTAAATATATCACCACTTAACTTATTTTTTTTAAGTCTGGAGGCCACTGCGACCATTGAGGCATTGTCGATGTTAATGCATCATCAATGATTTTCGGGCAGATTTACCTGGTGGCGCCCATCTCTTCTCCAGGTAACCATCCCTAATTTAGCAGTGGTAGACTAGGGGGAAGGTAGCTAGTCAACACCACCTACCGCCAACTCTTGGGGCACTCTTTTATCAAGGAAACTGTTGGATAGACCATCACATTATAACGCCCTCACGACTGAAAGAGCGAGGATGCTTGTTTATGGGAATTTGAACCCGCAACCCGAAAGTTGCGAATCAAGCACTCTGACCAACAGGCTAAGCTAGGAAAGAATGGGTCACATATCCCTTTCGGTGGTCACTCTACTGGATAATTCATCATCCTAAATCCTCTGAAACATTTATTCCCAGCCATAACAATAAGGTGTTTGTCGTCATCATTTTGGACGATTATCAGAGCAGACGGACTCCCTCACTGGCTTTTCATCATCTGAATCATCAGGAATAGACAGATATGTACTACCAGTGTCTTTCTCCTCATCAGCCTAAATGAGATTTTACAAGACAGCTATGTCATCATCAGTCAACCTACTCATACCCCTCAGATTCCCGAAGTAATTTGTCATTTAGACCAGCGTTTCTCAACCATTTCAATACCAGGGACTGGCTCGCTGTCTCCCTAAATTGACGCGGATCACTAAAATACAAGTACAACAACAACAAACATTGTGATTTACATGTGAATATTCAGTCATTTTTGTTTCTTTATGTGAAATCCCAAGGACAGGCAAGATGACTGTGGGTTGACTTGATCAATGGTAGCCACAAACTGATAATTTCCAGATTGAGTCTGTTTAGCAATGGTTTCATTATGTTGATATAGAAATATTCTTTGCTTTTCTTCTTTTCCAAAACTTACCTGTGTCGATGTATCTCTAATTGTCCCATTATAATTTATGTTCTGCAAGGGCAAAATTATATTTTTTCATCAGTCTTGAGCAGTCTTTATGTTCTTTTATTTTTGACCCAAATAGTCTTCGAGTTTCTCTAATGTAGGTTTGTTTACAGAAACACGGTATTTCATAAATGTTCTTTGTTTTGACAAGGAAAGATCTTAGTCTTCTTCAAGATTTGCAGCACAAATCAACGTTGAACTGTTTGGTTACACGTTTGACCTTCTCACTTAGGCTTTGTGTTAACAAAACGAAAATAGTTTTGGATTTGTTTTTCTTGTCTGCCTAAATCATCTATAGAGAGGTTTAAGTTTGTCAACATGTTTGATGCATACTGCAACACTTCTCGTTCAAACATAGGGAGGTTCAGAGAAAAACAGTCAATTGTTGCTCAGTTATACTGTACACCATCAGAACATACGGTGGGTGCTCATCCCGATAAAAGCAGTCAATCTTAACACACTTAGAAAACACACAATTAAGGTACCATTCAACAAGCCAAACCATCAGACTGAGAATAATTAGGTAAAATGCGAATTTCCACAACACCTAAAACTCGGTACAAATTAGTAAGCAACTTATTGTAGAAGCTAGTTTCACGATCTGTGTGGATTTCTGGAGACCTAAATGTGACATCCTTGGTTCAGTAAACATACCTATAATGGACTGTATCAGCCTATGTGGTGAGATAACCAATACTGACCATCACATACTGATCACTTATCTCGGTTTTGCACAGAGCACAGCTATTTTCAGGGAAATTCTCAACAGATGAGACACTAGCATGCTCTGCCAGGTTCTTCACTTGCGCTACATGTTTTTCTCTGGCCAGCACAACTGGAAGATGTTAATACCATCTCTCAACGTGTGGCCACACAAACTTCTGTTGCATATTTGCAATATCTCTGGTTCCCTCCATTCTTTGTATTATGCAAAACCTAAAGTATTTCTGGGAACCACTAGCTGCACCACAAGTAGAGCTGGGTAATTAATTCGATTACCTATGAGCTTCGATTATATTGATTATTGTCATTATTGGTCAATCGAAATATTGCCATTATGATTTCTCATGATTATTTTCGACTAATTCATGGTTGTTTGGCTTAACCAGTTAATGCCATGACTCACGAAAATAACCAACTAATCGAATTCTGTGTCCAAGTGATCGAAATATTGCCAATAATGTTTCAGCGAATTCTGTATCCAAGTGATCGAAATATCGCCAATAATGTTTCAGGTTATTACTATTTTAAATTATTCTAACTATCCAAGTTTGTTTGTTTTGAATTTTCGCGCAAAGCTACACGAGGGCTATCTGCGCTAGCCGTCCCTAAATTAGCAGTGTAAGACTAGAGGGAAGGCAGCTTGGACTACTCTTTTACCAACGAATAGTGGGATTGACCGTCACATTATAACGCCCCCACGGCTAAAAGGGCGAGCAGGTTTAGTAGAACGGGGATTCGAACCCGCGACCGCAGATTGCGAGTCGA